CATAACAACTTTTGAATAGAACAATTTTTCCTTTGCTGGGAAATGGCACTAGGATACACAACCCAAAACTACAGGTACTATGAGTTGCCACATTCTAAAAGAGCCACCAAGCACTGGAACAGAGTGTTTCTCAGAGTTCAATGGCCCTGCCACAATCAATCCCATCCGGCACACTACGCACCCGGGTTAGGGTTAGGGTTAGGGTTAGACTTGGTTAGGGTTAGGGTTAGGGTTAGGGTTAGGGTTAGGGTTAGGGTTAGGTTAGGGTTAGGGATGCATGGGCTTGCCCAGGCCCATTCTCCCACCCCAGTCAAATAGCCAAGTGAACAGGGAGAAATCAACATACTTGAAATGTCTGCATGAAAAACCCTGATAAAGGGAGACATACATTCCCTTCCCCAGTTAGACATCTGCTGGGGAGGCCGGACTCAGAGAGACACAGAGGGGCAGGTTGCATGAAGCCATACGTTTTCCACAGATGCCTTTGAAATTTTCTGGCCTCAGAAGTCTTGGAGATGTCCCACTAAGAAGGGTACTTGTCAGCAAAGGGTTTTGGAGTGTATTATGAGTTGGAGCGGGGAATGTTGAGATGAAGTGGTATAGAAGAGAAGAAGCTGATAGCCGATCTCTCATGTGTCATTGCCCTTCAAGCAAAGACCTCCAGGAACATACCTGTAGTCAAATAAATTGGGTGTATTACTCATCGTACCAAGAGGGAATGGACTCCATAAGGAACTGTGGGGTGCCTCAGTGAGAGGAAAGAACCTATTATGGGGTTTGGGCTTTGAGTAATTTGGGGGAAGTTCGAATGAAGCAGGAACTCACGCTGGATGGGGATAATTCTATTATTATCTCACTAAATCTTATCTGTAGTAAAGGCTGACTCAAGCAGTAGAAAGCTAGATTGGTAAAGTAGCAGTCTTATTTAGTGAGAGAGAGAGAGGTATTTTGTGGTTGCACCTTGTCTGAACTGAGGAGAGATCTGGCCTTTATGGCCCTCAGAGGAAACCAAGCCTGCTGGCATCTTGACCTTGGACTTCCAGCCTTCAGAACTATGAGAAAATAAAAATATTATGTAAGTAACCCAGTGGGATGTTAGTATTTTGTCATTCCCAGCAAACTAATACAGATCTATCCTATATAATAAAAGCCTAATATGCAAATTGTTTGACCAAGAGTTTGACAGGGAGTTTGACCACTCACTATGACATGCACTGATCACCAGGGGGCAGCTCAGAACATTGTGGGTGTTGGCGACGCTCTGGCAGCGGGCAGCAGTGGAGGCACTGCTGGCCCCGATGGGCCCCGACAAGAGCAGGACAGCAGTGGGATGGTGGATCAGGTGAGCAGGCAGCACTAGGTCAAGGTGGGTATAAGCAAGGTTCTGATCACCCTGGTGACCACCCCACAGATGTCAACCAGTGACCCAACTCCCAGACTCTGAGGGGGCTGGGCCAGGAGGAGGTTGGGGAGCAGCCCCAATCAATCATCTCACAGGAGAGAAGGTGGAGCAGGTGAGGGGGCGGCACCAGGCCATGGCAGGGTGCCAAGCAGAGCTGCAGGGCTGCAAGGCTGGGGGCACAAGCTGGGGTCCGTTACCAGCCATCTGAGAGACCCCACCCATGCATGAATTTGTGCACCAGGCCTCTAGTAGCAAATAAAATGATTGAAGTAGTAAACAGAACTCTTCCCATGAAGAAAAGCCCAGGCCCAAATGGCTTCACTAGTGAAGTCTACTAAGCATTTAAAGAAGAATTAATACCAATTATTCACAAAAAAATACACACAGAGAAAGTGAGGGAACACTTCCTAACACATTCTGTGAGGCCACTATTACCCTGACATCAAAACCAACGATGTCACAATAAGGATGTCCAATATCTCCTTGAATATAGATGAAAAGCCCTCAACATAATATTAGTAAATCAAACTCAGAAACATATGGGGGGGAAAATTATATACTATGACCAAGTATGATTTATCCCAGAAATACAAATTTGGTTTAACATTCAAAAGTCAATCAATGTAATATATTATATCAACATAATAAAATACAGCATCTCAATAGATGCAAAAAAGGCATTTGAAAAAATTCAACACCTCTTCATGATAAAAGCACTTTACTAACTGGGGCTAGAAAAGCATTTCCTCCATCTTATAAGATCATCTATAAAGAACCCACAGATTGCCGAAACCGGTTTGGCTCAGTGGTAGAGCGTCCGTCTGCGGACTGAAAGGTCCCGGGTTCGATTCTGGTCAAGGGCATGTACCTTGGTTGCGGGCACATCCCTTATAGGGGGTGTGCAGGAGGCAGCTGGTCGATGTTTCTCTCTCATCAACATTTCTAGCTCTCTATCTCTCTCCCTTCCTCTCTGTAAAATATCAATAAAATATACAATATATATTTTTAAAACCCACAGATAATATCCTATATAATAAAAGGCTAATATGCATATCAACCAAATGGCGCTATAACATGCACTGACCACCAGGGGGGCAGATGCTCAATTCAGGAGCTTTCCCCTGATGGTCAACGCACTCCTACATGGGGAGCGCCACTTAGCCAGAAGTGGGACTCATGGCTGGCAAGTGCAGCGGTAGTGGCGGGAGCCTCTCCCACCTCCACTACAGGCAGGCAGTAAGGAGCAAGAGGCCCATCCCTGGGGGGGTGGGGCCTAAGTGGGCAGACAGACATCCCCTGTGGGGTCCTGGGCGCAGGAGAGGCTGAGGGACACCAACCCCCGCCTCCCACCCAGTGCACATGCACCAGGCCTCTAGTCATACTTAATGGTGCAAGACTAAAAGCTTTCCCTCTATAATCAGGAAGAAAACGAGGATACCCACTCTTGACACTTCTATTCCACATTATACTGGAGATTCTAACCTTTTTCTTGCCATTAGGTGAAAAAAGAAATAAAGGCCATCCAGATTAAACAGGAAGAAGTAAAATTATATTTACAGAGGACATATCCTGTCTCCATATCCAGGCTCTTCATCTCGCTGAAGATGAGTGGGTGACAATGTCTTCTTTCTTGGAAGGAAGGTGTTCTCTTCCTAGCGTTCTCTCAACGCTTCCAGTATCACACAGCCCAGGTCCCTTCTCTACTGTCCCACCACCTGCCTGTGTTCTTACTGCTGGTTCCCATGCAGCCTTTAAAAACACTGAGGGAGCAGCTATTAGTGGTGCTGTCAGTACCCCTGTGCTCCCTCACACACACACACACACACACACACACACACACAGAATTTGTAGAGCTTGAGGTCTTGTCTGGAAGCCCATTGATAAGCATCTTCTTCCCTTTCTGCTCACACCTACTTCTCAATGGTGTATCCTGACCTGGCCTCTCAGGTAAGCTACTTGCCCTGGGATCTTTGTCTAGCACTTGGCTTCTGGGGAACCTAACACTATGACAGATCATCATAGTAGGTCCTTCGTGAACTTTGACCAGCAAATTAATAAAATTGAAATAGAGTAGAATAGGAAATACCAAGAGTACACTCTGTATTTGTTTCAACTTGAGGCTGTAAATTGTATCTCTTCCTTGGGACAAAGGCAACAATACTTAGGAAAATCCTGCTCTGAAGACTTTTCATTGTTTTTTAAACAAATGTCAACATATGAACATTTTTTAAAAGTACCATTTTTTTAAGAGCATGTTAAGGAAAGGCCAAAAAAGAAGTACCAGGTTTTATGAATAGGAAGGTGCTTGGTTTTTCTATTCCCTCAATGTTGTGATTAGTTAATTTTCAAAAACATTTACAATACTAATCCTAGGAAGACTCTGGTGAGAGTGACATGTATGTATTGCTGATGTCATTGTAAACCACACCCTTTGGGTTGGCTCAAATGCCTATAAATCCTGGTATTTATGCTAAGAGGGGGAAAAAATAACTAAACCATGACATGCAGAATCACGTACACTGCAGTGTTTCATGTTCAATTAAAAAAAAAATAGGAGCAACTTAGATGTCTGGATTTTGAAGGAGGAGTTTGAAGGACCAATATTCTTGGAAAGAGAGGCTTTGGAGTTGAGTTTTACAGAAAGATGAAGGAGGAATTGTCCGCTGCTTCCGTAAGAAGCCGCACCGAGTTGCTGGGGGAAAAGGTTCTCAGTGGCACCTCCGCTCAGTTCTCCGGAGAGTCTGATGGGAGATCCACTGCCATTCAGTAGGCTTGAAAAACAATGGCACAGCGCGCTCCTGGACGGAGTCCAGTACTCACACTTACAACCTGACTTGGCATAAGACAACAGAGGTGGAGGAGGCAGTTACAAGGTTCCCAAAAGAGTAATGATTGACAACGATCTGTCCCTTTTAGCCCCCAAAACCACATGGGGGGCGGGGCCTGGGGACTCACAATCCCCCTGTGGGGTTGTAAAACCCATTGTGCTTGGAAGAGCTTCCCAAACCGCGGGGCAATCAGTACCCAGGTCTCCGGGACCCACTTAGAAGTACATACATTGAACACTGGTTCCGTTCAAACTTCTTGTAGTTAAGAAAGAAGTACAAACATCTGGCTAGGAAAAACAAGGGTGCAGCCGGAACCAGTTTGGCTCAATGGATAGAGCGTTGGCCTGCGGACTGAAGAGTCCCGGGTTCGATTCCCGTCAAAGGCATGTACCTGGGTTGTGGGCACATCCCCGGTGCAGGAGGCAGCTGGTCGATGTTTCTCTCTCATCGATGTTTCTAGCTCTCTATCCCTCTCTCTTCCTCTCTGTAAAAAATCAATAAAATGTTGAGAGAGAGAGAGAGAGAGAGAGAGAGAGAGAGAGAGAGAGAGAGAGAGAGAGAAAGATATGAGGGTGCAGTGGGTGAGTATGAGAGGCTGGGGCGCAGCCTGCGGGGCAAGAGGCCATGGGGGAACCGAGCCCGGAGCCCAGCGCCGCCCCGCGGGCAGGAGCGCGGAGGCCCCGGTCGGCCCGGGCGGGGCGCCGGCTCTCCCGCCCCGGGGTGTGGCTCCTGCGGGCGGCGCGGGCGGGGCCCCGCGTTTAAGGCGCCGGCCCGCGGGGCCCGGCTCACTCGCGCTCCCGCCACCGCCATGGCACCGCCGCCCGCACGCGCCCTGCTCCTGGGAGCCGCCGGGCTGCTGCTCCTGCTGCTGCCCCTCTCCTCTTCCTCCTCTTCGGACGCCTGCGGCCCCTGCGCGCCGGCCTCCTGCCCGCCGCTGCCCCCGCGGGGCTGCCCGCTGGGCGAGACCCGCGACGCGTGCGGCTGCTGCCCCATGTGCGCGCGCGGCGAGGGCGAGCCGTGCGGGGGCGGCGGCGCGGGCAGGGGGTTCTGCGCGCCCGGCATGGAGTGCGTGAAGAGCCGCAAGAGGCGGAAGGGTAAAGCCGGGGCAGCAGCCGGGGGCCCGGGCGTGAGCGGCGTGTGCCTGTGCAAGAACCGCTACCCGGTGTGCGGCAGCGACGGCAACACCTACCCCACCGCGTGCCAGCTGCGCGCCGCCAGCCTGAGGGCCGAGAGCCGCGGGGAGAAGGCCGTCACCCAGGTCAGCAAGGGCACCTGCGAGCAAGGTGGGCACCGGCGCTTTCCCCTCCGACCCCGCCCCCGGGCCCGCGCGGCTGTAGGACGGGCTCCCCCTGGCGGCTCAGACCCGACAGGGCGGCGGCCGCCGATGCGCCCGCGCAGGTTCCCGCACCGCCTCCCGTGGGCAGCCCAGGGGTCAGATGCCTCCCGTGGGCATCTCAGGGGTCAGATAACTCCCGTGGGCATCCCAGGGGTCAGATGCCTCCCGTGGGCATCTCAGGGGTCAGATGCCTACCGTGGGCATCCCAGGGATCGGATGCGATGAAAGGAACTGGCAGCCGCGGGGATGCCAGCAAAGAAGGGAGACGCCTCCTCTATTCTTATTTTAGAGGTCTTAGTTTTAGCGTTTGCTGCGTGCACCGAGAAAGTGGGGACTTGCAAGGCCAGTGTGTGTGTGTGTGTGTGTGTGTGTGTGTGTGTGTGTGTGGTGTGTGGTGTGTGTGATTTAGCGATATTTCAGACTCCCGCTTCCCATCCCAAAAACTCACCCAACGGATGCTAACAGCTGGCAAGTCAATTCGCAAAAGCAGTGCCCTCATTCTTTGGTGAAACAAAGCATGTCATGTTATCATCATCTTTTTCTTGGCCTGGGGATATAGATGGAAGTGAAGTCAAGAAATTGGGGGAAAGAAGTTTTTCGACGACGAAATGCGAAGTAAGGGCTTTCAGAGAGAAGTTGTTTGTCCCGCCTTTAGATGGCTAGATCGTCAGAACTATAAAGCCAAGATTTCGTGGTTTCTTTAATATTGAGAAAATAATTCACTTACTGGAAATGACAGATTCTGAAACAGCAATGTAGCAAATTATTTCTGGGAGAGAAAAAAATACAGACTCTTTGAAGGATATCTGTATGATGTAGTTTTGCCATGACTCTTATGACCATTTTGTTTTTCTTTCTTATTCCCTTTTTTGTGTTATATGTCCCCAGGATGCACTGTTCAGCAGGAATGGCTTTGAGGTTATGTTTAATGGTTTATTTTATTTCACACAAGTCCAATCTTGCCATAAATGAAAGTGGAAAATAACTAGAGTTCAGGCTTGGGGGAAAAAACACACAGAGATTTTAACTCTAATGCCTGAAATAACATTTTCCATGGGCAGTTTCAAAAAAAAAAAGGTTAGAAATCCAACCTAGCGACCTTCTCCTGGGATGTGGGAGTGCGGCCATTCTCTTGAAAGGACAGAAGCAGTTGCTTCTTTCACAGCTCAGACTTTCCCCAAACTTTCCAAATGATTCCTTTTTAGAGCTTTTCCCAGAAGTCCATGTGCTAAGAGGTCGTATGTCACCAATTTCAGAGTTCACTATGAAAAGCCTTAAATTGTGTAACTTACTGGTACTTGTTTTATTATCACTGAAACTTAGAAAGTCACAACCCATCCTTTTCCAACAGAAACAGTCGTTTGCTCCTTTGGATCAAAGTCCTATCATGAAAGAGAAATGTCCATAGCTTAAGAGTTTATTCCATGTGTTAAAATTTTCTTAAACACCATAAGGGGAATTTTCCCCCCTGATCGGAGTAGAAGGTTAGCTAAAGAAAGTTAGCTTGGCCCTAACCGATTTGGCTTAGTGGATAGAGAGTTGGCCTGGGGACTGAAGAGTCACAGGTTTGATTCCTGTCAGGGGTATGTACCTTGGTTGCAGGCACATTCCCAGTAGGGGGCGTGCAGGAGGCAGCTGATCGAAGTTTCTCATCTGTTTCTCTCTATTTTTGTAAAAAAATCAATAAAATATATATAAAAATTTAGAAAAAAGAAAGTTAGCTTAGTGATTGTTTAAGTAATATCCATTCTAGCTCGTGTGGCAGCACTGTGCTAGGTGCTATGGAACAAGGAATACATAAAACTGAATTGGTCCTTTTTTAAAAATATATATATATTTTTATTTCAGAGAAGAAGAGAGAGGGAGAGAGAGATAGAAACATCAATGATGAGAGATAATTATTGATCAGCTGCCTCTTGCAAACCCCCTGCTGGAGATCAAGCCCAAAACCCAGGCATGTGGCCTGGACCTAGACTCAAACCGTGACCTCCTGGTTCATAGGTTGACACTCAACCACTGAGCAACACCAGCCAGACAAAACAGAACTGGCCTTGCTGACTAAGAAAGTATTCATACAAGTTGCAAACTCACTTCCCTGAGCACTTTCACTGGAGCCCTGGAGACACTCCCAAATCTTCCCTTATTTTATGAGATCACCATTTACCCTCCTTCTGTAGAGGAACTTCGTCTGCTTGTTTGCTGTACCTCTGTGATAAGAGGCAAAGCCATCTTCTGAAAATTTGTTTGAAAGGTAATGAGCTTATAATAGCACATCTTAGACCTGTCATCATGAATTTACTGCCATTAGATCTTATCAAGGTCCCTGAAGTCATGAATAATTGGAAGAGAGAGATCAGTTTAATAAAACGTTAATATAGAGAAGCTGAGATATATAATAAGATCTCATGTTGGCAGAGAACACGGATTGCCTTTATTCCAGTTCTTGGTTACTTCCTGTTCATGGCCCTATCAATCTGAGCCCCTGGGTAATGCCATTTCAACCCCCTTTGTCCCTTTGAATCCCATCTTCTCTTTTCCCCCCTCAGAATTAATTTTCACTTGTGAAATCAGAATTCATTCTTAAAGGTCTGCCTTATTATACCTTTAAGACCAAGTTCAAATTACCTAGCAGGGAATATGAGGCTCTGCACAATAACTCTACCCTGTTATTTTGGCCTCTTCTTCCCAACTCTTTTATAGTCCAGCCACAAGGCTTGCTCTTTGCTGCTGTTGGCAGTCATACCCACACTCTCACCCTCACTTTCCACCCTCACTTTGAACTCTTAATTTTCAAGGATCAGTAGGTGTCACTTTCTCTGTGAAGCTCCTTGATTCTCCCACCTCCCAGGGATGTCCTTGTCCTTTGTCTCTTCCAGCCATTTTTTCAACAACATTTATTGCACACTTACTGTGTACATGTAAACAAGAGCTATTCTAGCGGAACAGTTAAGATGCTGAGCTCTGGAACCAGGCTCCCTGGGTGTGTATCTTAACTCTGCCACTTCCTTAGCCTTGAACAAGTTACTTGACCTCTCTGGGCCTATGTTTCCTCACCTATAATGTAAGGACTATCATCAGCCCTCTCTCATAGAGTTGTGAAGAGTCAATATTTTGAAGACTATTCATAGAAATAACCTAATGAATATTCATTGTTGTCATCATTCAACCTTCAAGTAAACTCCATGAAGGAAGGGAATTTTTGCTCCCTCATCTATCCCCAAGGGCCTGGATCAGTGCCTGGTACTAGTAGATACTCTAGATTAGGGGTGTCGAACTCAATCAGAGAAGGGGCCAAAATCTAAAATCCAGCCTAAATCGCGGGCCGAATGGTTTACTGAACAGTCATAAACTGTCATTGTGATGGAAACGCAGCGGAGTTCAGTGATGACAGCGCGGTGCGGGCCACATTGCAAGGTCTGGCGGGACGGATTTGGCCCGCGGGCCTTGTGTTTGACACATGTGCTCTAGATATATGTTGAATGAATGAATGAATGAGTGAGTGAGTGAATGAATGAATTTTCCAGGTACTGTTCTAATCTCAGCCTAGAATAAGAAGAGAGGCAGGATTGACCCCTCTCTGATGGCAATTACTGTAAGCTTTACACAGAAATAAGTAAACAGATAATATCATAGTCATATGTGCTGTGAAGAATGTGCAACAGGGAAGTAGGATAGAAACCAGAGGTGGAGGAGCAGCAGTAAGTGGGGTGGGCCAAGCCATGCAACGGACCCATGTGGGGACTTCAGCAAAGAGGCAGAGGTGACGACAGCTCTGCTCGTTAGTACAGCGCCTCCCGCAGCCTCTGAAGTACGCTCTGAATGTCTGTCTTCTGCACAGGCTGGGAGCCTCCTAACAGAGAAGCTCCCACTGGCTAATAGTTGGACACTTCATAAATATTTGTTGATTAAACAAGGGAATCTCTTAAGAAAGTGCCTTCCCTTTTGGAAATGCAGGCAATGGACTCTCCGGGCTGTCTGCTCTCTCTTTCCCTGTATCTTCTGCCTTTACGAAGTCTAGGCCAGGGAATACATCTGACACTGATTCATCTTCCCATCCTCTGCTATCCTGAACTCTTAACATTAGATTTTCACCCCTCCCACACACCCAAATCTCAACATTTCCCCATCCCCTTGCTGGTTAGAATTAGGTCTAAATGGGAAAAGCTTCAGTGACTATTTTTCTTTTCAGAAACTCATTTTAATGGACTTTAAACATTCATTCTTTTTGAATATCGTTGTATGCTCATTTTTATGTTAATAACATGTTATTTAAATACCTGTTTTCTATTACTGTTTTTTTCCATGAATTTGTGATATTGTGATTTATAATAAGAAATATATATATATATATATATATATATATATATATATATATATATGTATGTATATATATATATTAGATCTTCATCTCATGTAGCTACTCAAACCTTTGGAATTTTCTAAGTGCTAAGAGTAACAAGGTGTCTCTTTCTTTCTTTCTTTCTTTCTTTCTTTCTTTTTTTTAATATACTTTACTGATTTTTCACAGAGAGGAAGGGAGAGGGATAGAGAGCTAGAAACATCGATAAGAGAGACATCAATCAGCTACCTTCTGCACATCTCCACTGGGAATGTGCCCACAACCAAGGTACATGCCCTTGACCGGAATCAAACCCGGGACCCTTCAGTCCACAGACCAACACTCTATCCACAGAGCCAACCCGGTTTAGGCAAGGTGTCTTTTTTTTAAACTAGGGAGGTGACTTTCAGAAAGCCCCTAAGGATAGGGGTTGATTGCCAGTGGAGCCAGCCATGTGATTAGTGGGTTGGAACTTTCAATCCTACCCCTTCAACCTTCTGGGAGGAAGAGGAGCTGAAGATTGATCTCAGTCTCCAATGATTGAGTGATTGGGTTGACTTAATCAATCATGTCTATGTAATGAAGCCTCCATTAAAACCCAAAAGGGCCCAGCAGGCGTGGCTCAGTGGCTGAGCATCGACCTGTGAACCAGAAGGTCACGGTTCAATTCCCCGGTCAGGGCATATGGCTAGGTTGTGGGCTACACACCCAGTGTGCATGAGGCAGCTGATCAATGACTCTCTCATCATTGATGTTTCTATCCCTCTCCCTTCTTCTCTAAAATCAATAAAAAAAAATTTTTTTTTTTTAAAGCAACACAAAAGGATGGGTTTGGAGAGCTTCTGGGCTGGTGAACATACGGAGGTGCTGGGAGAGTGGCTCACACAGTGCCCATGGGAGCTCCTTTCTTCACACCTTTCCCTCTGCATCTCCTCCATCTGGCTGCTCCTGAGTTACATCCTTTTATAAAAGCTGGTAACCTAGTAAGTCCGTAAAATGCTTCTGAGTCCTGTAAGCCACTCTAACAAATTAATGGAACCCCGGGAGGGAGTTGTTGGTGCCTCCAATCTGTAGCCAGTCAGTCAGAAGCACAGATGACAGCATGGACTTGTGATTGACATAAGAAGTGTGTGAGCCCATTTGACCCAGTAATTCCACTCCTAGGAATATATCCCAAGAAACTAGAAACACCAATCAGAAAGGATATATGCACCCCTATGTTTATAGCAGCACAATCTACAATAGCTAGAATTTGGAAACAGCCTACGTGCCCATCAGCAGATGATTGGATCAAAAAACCATGGTACATCTACACAATGGAATACTATGCTGCCATAAAAAAGAAGGAATTCTCATCATTTGCAGCAACCTGGATGGAACTGGAGAACATCATGATGAGTGAAATAAGCCAGTCAATGAAAGAGAAACACCACGTGACCTCACTCATTTATGGATAATAAAGAACATTATAAACTGATGAACCAAAAGATAGATATAGAGACAGTAAAGCAACAAGCAGACTGTCAAATTACAGTGGGGAGGGTAAGGAGATCTGGGGGAGATAATAGATCAACCGAAGGACTTGTATACATGCATACAAGTACAACCAATGGACACAAAACTCTGGGAAAGAAGGGTATGAATGGGAGGAGGGAATGGTAAGATATGTACACAGATAATAATTTAATTTAAAAATTTTTATCTGAAAAAAAAAAGAAAATAAACGTAAGTCAGAAGTCATCTTAAAAAAAAAAAAAAGTGTGTGAGGAGGTGTGAAGGGGGAAGGCTTGTTGGACTGATCCCTTAACCAGTGTGATCTGATGCTATCCCAAGGTAGACAGTGTCAGAATTGTAGGACACCCAGCTGGTGCTGGAGAATTGCTTGGGGATGTGAGAGAAAATACATGAGCAACTGGTGTCAGAATGGTAGAACGTCATTGAAAGCTGATACAGAAGGAAAAGATAAATAAATAAATAAATAAATAAATAGCAAAAAATAAAGTTGATACAGAGTGTTCCAGTTTTATTTTTTAATATATTTTATTGATTTTTTTTACAGAGAGGAAGAGAGAGGGATAGAGAGTTAGAAACATCAATGAGAGAGAATGATGATTCTCTCTTGCACAACCCCTACTGGGGATGTGCCCGCAGTCAAGGTACATGCCCTTGACCCGAATTGAACCTGAGACCTTTCAGTCAGCAGGCCGACGCTCTATCCACTGAGCCAAACCAGTTTTGGCTGAGTGTTCCAATTTTAAATGAAATTTTAATGGTCTGGCTCCGTGGTCGGCAAACTGTGGCTCTCGAGCCACATGCGCCTCTCGAGCCACATGCAGCTCTTTGGCCTCTTGAGTGTGGCTCTTCCACAAAATACTGTACCACGGCCTGGGCAAGTCTATTTTGAAGAAGTGGCATTAGAAGAAGTTTAAGTTTTAAAAAATTGGCTCTCAAAAGAAATTTCAATTGTTGTACTGTTGATATTTGGCTCTGTTGACTAATGAGTTTGCCGACCACTGGTCTGGCTTATCTTGTGGCAAAGGGCTGGGGAGTGGGGCAATGTAAGTCAGTGCAATACTTTGTAAAACTACCTCTGTCACACCACACAGACACACAGAGAGCCCCCAGGGGGATCCTTCGCCTGGGTTTATGAAGAGCCAGGAAAAACCTCCTCGAAGAGTGGTGCTGTCCTGATTGAGACAGGGGTGAGAAGGAATTGGCTGGAGAAGAGCTAGCATGACGTGTCGAGTGAGCTAGAAGGAAGAGCACAGAAAGCACAGCACATGGTTCCATGGGGCTGTCCCACAGAGAGGGGCCGCCGGACACTTAACAGGGCATAGTGACCGAGGGCCTTGTGGCCCGTTGGGGAGTCTAGACACCGTCACGAGAGCAGTGGGCCATGGAGTGACGTAATGGGATTTGTGCTTTTAAAAAAACCTCTGTGACCGCCCTTAGGAGGATGGATTGGAAGGGGCAAGACCGCCATCAGGGATTCTCATTAGGAAGCTGTTACAGTCATCCCAGCAAGAGACGCCTCACTCCTCCTCCGACACAGGACCTTCACTTTCTGTTTCAGGCCTTCGAAGCATTGGTGAGCCCCGGGTCCTAACCTGCCACGGCAAGCTGTTCATTACTGGAAAAGTCTGAACTGTGCTTTTTCCTTATTAGATGACCCCTCACAATGTGCCCTGGCATCACTCTCTCATTAGCCAGCCCAGCTCCCACATTACAGCCAACTTGCTCATTTCATGTCAAGAGGCTTTTCCCCCATAAGCCCCGTTCCTCCCTCTCTCTACTTTCAGATCAGAAACAGAAAAAGCCATATCCCGAAGCATCTACCCTAACCCCATAGAAATGCTTTCAAGTTTTTTCTTCTAGCCTCAGTTGCCCTTGTTAAACACAGAAACTTCTAGAATGCTGAGTGAATCACCGGTTCTTTCTTACCACTAATCCCTGCATTTTAAGAAAAGTTTGAAAACTTTGTTCTCTAATCCTTCTTACCAGGAACTGATATGGAGTATATGGAGTATATGGAGTATCCTTTTTTCTATACTCTTGCCAACATGGGGATTATCAATCTCTTTAATTCTTGTCGAGCTAAAAAGCAGTATCTCCTGTTTAGTTTGCAATTTCCTGAGATTGAGCATGTTGTATTTCTTCTGTGAATTGCCTGTTTATGCCTTGCCATTTTTTTTTCCTGTGCGTGCATTATTTGTACTTTCCATATTTATTTTGAATTATTAGGGATATTAACATTTTTGTTAAATATTTGTTATATTTTCTCTGGAAAAGGAAATAGGCAGGCTTGAGGGACCTTAAAGGACTTGGGATTCTTTTCAAGGAAAATAATCCAAAGAACAAGTTTATGTTTCGTCATGGTTTGGGAATTAGTTATTCAATGGAAGGTGCTTGACCTACTTTTCTACAATTCTTCAGGAGACGGAATTCAAAGGCCTGGAATTAAATGGCCACTCTCAATCAAGGGTCATTGGTGCCAATTCAATGCCCATAGCAATCCCCAATTTGGAATGTGGTGAAGAAGGAAACTTTATTCAGTGCAGGCAGCTCAACTGGGAGACAGCACGGCTGTGGAATAACTCAATCATGTTATAGCTCTAAGAAGCCTTGGAGGGAGGTGGCCCTGGAGGGAGTGAGGCCCCTCTTCGGCTAGGCGGCTCTGGTCTGCTCACCTGCGCCCATCTGCCTCACGCTGCTCCTTTGCTACGGGAAGATATCTTTGGTGTTTCAACTCCAGCTGGAGAAATGCCATCTTCAGCCTTTGGGTGGAAAGGAAAAGTTCCCTGGGGGAACCTGCTTATCTAGACTATCCCTGGTTCCTGATTGGTCCATCCTCATGCAAATAAGAACTCCAAATCCTCCCCATTTGATTAGTCCAAAGGGCACTGTCCTGATTGGTCAGAATGGAGCTGCCCCGATTGGTTGGTGGAGATGCTAATGGGGGGATATACCTGTGCAGCTCCAATTGGATGGGGAAAATCTCGGTCCTCTTGGTTGTAATAGGTTTCCAGGAATTCCATAAGAGCTGGCTCCAGTGGCAGGAATACAGCACAGGCAGGCAGTTCAGAGCAGAGGCCGGTAGCTTCGTGCAGGCTTCTCCTGAAGTGCCGTTTTGTGAAAGGCCCCTGTGCAGAAACAGCTGCTAGGCGGTGTTTTAAATGTGAGCCCCGTCAAACCATTGGGAGCCCTTCTTGGTAGGTATGTTCTTTCCCAGGGTCCACCCCACAAAGCACAGTTAGATTACACACCAGGGAGAACTGGTAGGTAAAAACTGTTGAATACCGTTATTTGCTCATATGGGAGCCAGGAGAATTTTGTTCTGAGATGTTCTGTGGGAGAGCTGAGGGGTAACCTAAGTGAGGAGGGGAAGCTGGGAGAGGACGTGAGGACCTTCAAGATCTTTTACGCTCTAGACATTAGATGGAATGGTTAAGCTGAGCAAGTGTTTATTATCACCCTTAAATATAATTTGCATCTTGTCCACAGAGCCTGCCCTCCGGTTGACTGTAGACTTGCCTTCTTGAAGAAACTGCCTTATAAGTCTCTTTCGAATAGTTTAGTGACAGAACTTCCTTGGGTAGATCCCAAGGCCAGGCCCGGCCTTCCCGCGTTCTAAATTCCTCCCCCACAGTGTATAAGATTAGGATGCTTCCTTCAACCTCGAAATAGCCTGCAACTGATCTGACCTCATCTGTACAGTGTTTTTCATTGTAAGACAAATAGCATCTTATTCTTAGCAACTGTTAAAAAGGAAACCCTGGCCGAAACCGGTTTGACTCAGCACTAGAGCGTCGATCTGCCAACTGAAAGGTCCCAGATTCGATTCTGGTCAGGGGCATATACGTTGGTTGCAGGCACATCCCCGGTGGGGGGTGTGCAAGAGGCAGTTGGTCGATGTTTCTCTCTCATAAACGTTTCTAGCTCTCTGTCTCTCTCCCTTCCTCTCTGTAAAAAATCAACAAAATATATTAAAAAAAAAAAAAAAAAAAAAAAAGGAAACCCTGAATTGGTGTAAGAAAGACTTTTAGGCCAGAGAATGTATGTGTATAACTTTTTTTGTAATTTAAACCCAGGAGTGGCACCTTTACAGCTTAGAGATGGAAAAAGACTTAGAAGTAGATCAATTTGCTAAGTGCTTATTTTAGGCAATTTTTAAAATTTCCCCGTGGAGCCTTTTTATGAGGGGGTAGGAGGGTGATAAGGGCTAGAAATGTCACAGGAAAGCTTTCCCAAGCTTTCTAGAGGGTTTCCAAGTTGATTAAGACCATCACTCCGAGAGGACCCCACCCCACATGGCCTCAAAGATAAAGTGAGGTCAGGTGGAGAAAGCCGTGGTTGATAATGTGGAGGGGGGAATGTTTATTTTTTACCTAAAATTGATGTGTTAAATAGTTGAATCAATGGCAAAAGGTATGGTGGAGTTAGTTAGAAATAGCTGGAGCTAGCAATAAACGTGCCCCCTGAATGCCTCCAC